ACTTCCTTGGAGACCAGATGCAAAAAGGGATTGGGCTGGAGCTGTGGGATTTATCTGGATTTCATTGTTTACGAAGAATTCAGGCTCCATTCTTGCTTACGACCTGGAAGGCGCCTTCATAGCCTTCTGGCATGGCGGTATGGACGTAAGTCGCATATTTTTCTCAATCTTTCTCTCCTTGGGAGGCTCGGAAAGGCGTGTCTTGAGTTGCGGGAGAGAGCCCTCAGAGAGGTTCACGCAGATGGACTTCTACAAGTTCGTGGGCACCTCTACCAAGGGGATGCTGGGCCAAAGAATGCTTTTTGAACAGATAAAAAAACGATTTTAAGCGCGCTGTGAGAAAGGCCATAGCCTGCCTTTTTGCTATTTCCCGAAGTTTTGGATGCTAGTACTTAGAAGATCGTGGGTAGCGGTGAGCAAGGTTCTTTGATACGGATTCCTTCTGATCCCAAATGCCCTACTGTAACCCTGCCTGTCACTACCCGTGAACTTTTGGATGTCTTAGTCTTAAACCATCTTTGCAGTTTGGGTCACCCCCAGATCTGGATGTTCCACGCCTGACTTATAGATGTTACTCGCGGTCTAGATTCGCGTTTCGGAATGTTTGGGGTGCGGACATGGGGACCGCTTGTTGGGGACGATGTGGAAGTGTGCTGCGACTCCCGCTGCACGTGTAGCATCAGCTCTCCCAAGGGCAGACCACCCCAACCCGCGCATGAAGTTCGTTGGCGCCGTTTCCGACATGATCTGCGGGCTGGTGCTTCCCTGCATACCTTCCGTTCAAGAGGCTGCCAAGGACTGCAGTATATGGAATGGTAGACTCAGTAGACCCTAACCCCTAACCCTGAACATGTGTGCGAGAGAGAGTGAGAGTCGAAACCCTCAATCCTCTACATACCTGAAAACGATAATCAGTCTATCACATGCATTCTGTCACATTCAGGACCCCAAAGATACCTAAGACATCTCACCTTTCTACCAACTCTGCCAGGTCTCTCTAGTCTTGCCGGACAAACCGCAAGCTAAGCTCCGTTCAGGATCAACACCTTTGAGAGTGGCTGCAGTGACTCGCGCACCTTGCAACCTCAGAGTGTAGGGCTCACCTCCAGCCGACCAGTCGCCAAGAACCTCGCCTGGCATGACGGACAGTGGGTGCCGAAACCAACCCTGAATCCCTACACCCTCAAGCTAGGTGGGGTTTAATGCGTGCGAAGGTCTATACAAGTCAGACATATCCGAACTTACCCTGCNNCTAAGTGGGAGGGAAAAAAACACCCTCAATCCGCAGAACCCCTTGGGATCCTTCTTTCAGGAGGCCCAGGTGCTCGTGACCTCCGCCCTGGCACGACCCCTGGCGCCCCTGGGCCGGAGCAG